AAAAAAAAAAAAAAAAAATTATTTATTTATTTATTTTTGTATGCAACTATTATAGCATTTGGTGAAGAAAAATGTTAAGAATACTAACAATCTTACTAATACACTCACAAGTTGATATAAGTTCCATGCCAAGTGACGATTGATCTTATCAAAACTTGTAAATTTGTTAATAAAATTGTTAGTAAATGTGTAAATATTCCTAACATTGTTATTTGGTGAAAGTGAGTTAATATAGTTACTTTTACAATTGTGATAATCTTTTCTCTCCTAATGCCACCACTACAAAAAAATTAACTTTTTGCGACAGCAAAATACCGTCGCAAATACTTAAAATGTCGTCTCAAAAGTTTTTTTGCGACAACAGATGACTTTTAGCGACGACAAATGGGGGGTCGCAGCAAAAGACGTTGATAAAAGGTTTTAACGACGGCACAATGTCGTCGCCTTTTTTTGTGATGAAGTAACCTTTTGGCGATGGAATTTTACTGTCGCCATTAATATGAATAAAATCTGAGATTTTTTCAGACGGCACTTTGTTGCCGTCGCTAAAGGTGTTATTTGCGATGGCAAAAATGCCATCGCGAAAGAATTTATTGCGACGGGATACTTGTCGTCACTAAAAATTATTTGAGACAACGCCACATGCCATCGCTAAAAGATTATTTGCGACGGCAAAAAATACCATCGCAAAAGATTTTTGTCAGAACTGTGCCAATATCATTTGCGACGACAATGTGGTGCCGTTTCAAAAAAAAAAAAAAACTACAATAAAATTATTAAAAATATGAAAATTACCTGTATTAAATGAAACACAATTAAAAAAGAAACCAATAATTACATAATAATATAAAAATTCCAGTATAAAAATAACATTTCATCCATAATAAAAATATTCTTACATTCATTACAACACATTAACAAAATTATCCCACTACATTATTACATAATACATATACAATGTTTACATACATAATGTTGTTCACAATTCAAAATAACGTAAATCAAAAACAAAAATTTTCCTTATGATTCTTCCATGGATAACAAAAATAAAAGTTAGTCGCAATCTCCACACGCCTGCATTCCACAAGAAGCAAACTCCTACTCGGGAAATATCTAGAAAAAAAAAAATAAAAATAATTAATAACAATACAATTATGTGTCAATATTTTAATTACAAAAAAATATAAAAACTACTATATAATTACAAAGAAAATTAAGTAAATTTCTGGAATCCTGTCTTTTCCCACAAATCTCTCATGCCTAGGCAGTCGTGTGTGCCAAGTTTCGTGCTAAATCGACGTTGTTTGGTGATTTCAGGGCGTCAACAACCAAGTAATATGTTATCTAAGTTATTGAAGTTTAAATGTCAAAATGATAGCAAATTTATTTAAAAGATTTATCAAAGGTCATACTATAAGGCATCGGGGCCTCTAAAGATGAGAGACACCGCGAAGGTACTTGGTAATAGAGTAGAAAATATGAAACAACATAAACAACATGAGTAAAGCTTTATAGTCTCCACAACCAGACTCGGAAATACTTTATAGTTCTATTGATTTGGAGACATATATGCACTATGCAACCAAGTGACAAAAGTATACACTACACATTGTAACAACATGAGTAAAGCTTTCTTTTACGTTCAAGCAAGGAAGCACGAATACGGATACGGGTACGATACGATACGGATACGGCAATACGGCAAAATTCGAAAAAGTAAGATACGAATACGGCAGGGATACGTTCATAAAAAATATTTTTTTCATAATTTTTAGTAATGTAGCATACACAAAAATAGAACTTCAACAATTTTTAGTAATATAACATATATAAAATAAAACTTCAACAATTTTTAATAATGTAGCATACATAAAAATAAAACTTAAAACAAAACATTAATGTAGCATCACCCATAACAACCATAATGCATCACCCATAACAAAAAATTCATCAATTCAATTAAATTTCAACAATATAGCATCACCTATGACAACCATAATGCAATTCAATCCCAAATTAAGGGGCAAAAAATTTACAAAGCTCATTTATTTATCAATAAGTTTATTTATTTATTTATTTATAAGTTTTTTTTACCTTATTTGATTTATTAATAAGTTTACAAAGTTTATAATTTTATAAGTTGACAAAATTTATTTTTAATAAGTTTATTTATTTATTTATTAATAAGTTTTTTTTACCTTATTTGATTTATTAATAAGTAATTTACAAAATTTAATTTTATAAGTTGACAAAGTTTATTTTTAATAAGTTTATTTATTTATTTATTAATAAATTTTTTTACCTTATTTGATTTATTAATAAGTTTACAAAGTTTATAATCAAAATGTGGTTTGCTAACATATCAACATTTTCTGGTAACACAACTTTGAAGAGAGTGCATGGGCCATTAATACATAAATTTTTTTTTTTTTAATATCTTATTTGATTTGCAGAGTATACATACAAAAAATTATATATTATATATATACATATGCAAAACAGAGAGACGAATCGAGATCGACCAAGAGGGGGGAGATGAGATCAAATCGAGATCTCCAACCAGGCAGACAGATCGAGCGACAACGGAGAGCAAGAGAGTTCGTGAGATCGAGTGAGGCAGACAGAGGGAGCGAAAGGGAGAGAGAGAGGGATGAACCTGATGATCGACGATCGTGGAGCTCCTGTTCGTGAACCCGGTTGATGATCGACGAGCTGCTGTTCGAGACGACTACGAACTCCTCCTCCTCCTTCACAGCTGCTGTTCGACCTAGGTAAGAGAGAGTGTGATTGATTATTATTTTTCTTTTTTTTGTGTTTTATTTCATCTCATTTTCAGATTTTATAATTTGACCCCATTTTAAGTTTTTTAAATTATTTTTTTGCCCCGCCGTATCCATACCGTATCCTTACCGTATCCTCGCGTATCCCAAACGTATCCGAAATTCAAAAATTAAAAAAAAAAAAATTGGATACTTCATTTCCCGTATCTGATACGTATCCTGCCGTATCGGGCGCGTATCCGTATCCGATACGTATCCGATACACGTACGGGGGCTATTTCGGAGTATCCGTGCTTCATAGCGTTCAAGAAAGGTATGCAGATCATGCCAAAGAAATAGTACTCAACCCTCTACCTCTCTTTCATAAATTTTTTTTGATGTTTTTCTGTTACTGCTCCATTTGCATTATAACAGTTAAAAAATGTACCAAATGAACCAAGACAGAATCCATGGATTTTAATAAAGAAAAATTCTTCCAGAAAATAGTTCAAAATCAAGCTTCTCAAAAAAGTTATGGTTAACGCAATCAAAGAAAAAAAAAATTAAAAAGCAAACCGTGTGCAATCAAGCCCCACCAAGTAAAAAGAAAAGAAAATTCATACCTGAAAATACATCTTGAGTTCAAATGATGGATCAGTAAATGGAAAACAAGTGTCAATCCAGTGCATTTCCACAGAACCTAAAATTCTCAAAAGGTGTTAGGCTGAAAAAGAAAAGTAAATTATATCTCCTATAGAAACCAACATATAAGGCCAGATATGTTTGTTCCTTAAAAAAAAATTCCTTGATTTACCACACTATTATATGTTATAGATATTGTAAATCATTCTATGTATTGAATCATCCTGGTTTCACCCAGAATGAGTGACATCATATGATCTTCATTTGTAACCTGATTTGCTTTTTCCCCATAATTTTTTTTTTTATCCTTTCACCATCCCCAACATATTTAGAATATTTAAAAACTCTCAATCACTGGACATAATGAATAATTATTATATCTTCTATTGTCACAGCTCAAATTTTCATGTCATGTTTCAGTTTAAACTGTACCAAATAAGTGGCATACCAAACCCTCAAGGCACTTCTTTAAATCCTCAGCTACATAAGATGTTCCATCCATCCCTTAAAAACCATTTTTTTCTGGGGCAAGTATCCGTTATAACCACACTAACCTTACATATCAATTCAATTGATGACACTTTTAGAACTAAAGGAAAAGGCAGTGTGTGTGATCCAGTTGTGTCAGTAGTGAGAACAAAATACAAAAACAGAACACCAAAATTCTCTGAATTAAGATCCAAAATGCAAAACCAATATTGTAAAAACCTTGCCCCAAATAGGAAAAATACTATATGCCAACTGTAATGCATAATTTTGTCCAACCCAAAATGCAAAACTAGTGAAGAAATCAAATTTCAATAAAAACCCAAAACAATAATAGCCAAAAAAACTGCCAAAATTAGACCAACCAAGAGAGTAAAACTTCAAACCCAGCACAAGAATTAAGGAAAATCCAAAAAAAAAACCATGACAACCCAATATTCCCTAAAAAGCTTGGGCCAAATAGGCAGAACACTATGTCAACTATCACCTGGTTCAAAACATACAGAAGGCACCACAATCACCTGGTTCACAATCCACATGCAGAAGGCACCACATTTTCACTGATTAAGCAGTAGACAACTACATCTATTCTAATTTTCAAATGCCCTCTATCTATTTCATCTAAAAACCCAAAAATGAATATTTTCCAGTAGTGCTTAGAAACTGAGACAATCAATCATCAATCAACAAAACAAAATCAAATAACACAAGCATCAACAAATCAATACCCAACTGCTTACAGACCACCACTACAACAATCCATCAAAAACAAACACAAACCCAACATCGATTGGGAGGAAGAAACACAAGATCTGAGAAGAAGAAGAAGAAGAAAAGAAAAAAAAACCACGAACCGAAACCCTAATCTGGAAAAGTAGTGAAGCTACGGAGAATCAGAGTGAATATGGAGCTGAATTTACCTTATCTGAAGATTGGCGAACGCAAAGACGATGAGAGTTTGTCTTCGCCTTTTGTTTTGTGAGTCTGTGTGCGTGAGGTCTTAGAAGATCGAGAGGATGAGAGCGTTGAAGAGAGACTCGCCGCACCGTCCTCGCTCGCTCGACGCCGTCGCACGCTGCTCGCTGCCATCGCTCAACGCTGTTGATTCGATGCTCGCCGTCGTCCGCCGTTGCTCACAGTCGAGAGAGAGAGAGAGAGAGAGAGTCGTATGAAGAGATGGGGACTTTTGATAGGCTTTTGGTTGAAAGATTAGGGATTTTTGAGATTGGGAATTTTTGGTTAAAGGGGGGAAAAAACGAGCGCGAAGGGAAAAAACAGATGAGCGCTTGGGTTTTTTTTTTGCGACGTAAAGTTTCACCGTCTCAAAAGAAAATTTAAACAATAAAGGGGAGGAAATAGAGCGGGAATGAAAAAAAAAAGAAGGAGGAAACAGAGCGGGAATGAAATGAAAAAAAAAAACCAAAATCTTTTTTTTTTTTTGTTACAAATGAAATTTAAACAACAAAACGACACCGTTTAACTCTTTTTTTTTTTCTGCGACGGGAGTTGCCGTCGCCAAAAAACTATATTTTTTATTAAAATAATTTTTTTTTTTTGTAATTAATGAATTTTTTAAAAAACTTTTCATTTTTTTATAGTTACTAAGATTGAAAATTTATTTGTTTCATTTTTATTTTAATGAAGTTGTGGTAGTGTTAAAGGAGATGGAGTGGCGGTTGTGGATAAGAGGTAATAGTAGTAGTAGTGATAACAGTGGTAGTGGTGGTAGCAGAGTGGTAGCGATGGTGGTAGTAATGGTTGTCGTAGAGGTGGAGTGGCAATAGTGGTAATAATGGTGGTAGTGGAATGACATTTGCAGTAATGGTGAAGGTGGTAGATGAGATGGGTGATGAGTGAGAGACAGATAGAGAAGAAAGATAGAGAGAGACAGAGAGAGTGATGAGTGAGAGAGAGACAAAGTGGTCACTAAAAGTGTATTTTCTTGTAGTGGAGAGCTTGATAAATAAAGAAGAAATGAGGGAGAGAGTGAGCAAAGTGAACACAATGCGAGAGACAGACAGACAGATAGATACAGAGAGAGAAAGAGTGAGAGACAAACAAACAAACACAGAGAGAGAAAAGAATGATGAGTGAGAGAGAGACAGAGAGAGAAAGAGATATAGAGAGACAGAGACAGACATACAGGTAAAAAAAAGAGAGAAACAAGAGATGAGCAAGAGATAAACAGAGAGAGAGAAAGAGAGCGAAAAGAGATGATCGAAAGAAAAACATAGAAAAAGAGAGAGACAGATAGAGAAGAAAGATTAGCGAGAAAGACAGAGAGAATAGAGAGAAAAGAAATGAGAGAGAAAGATAGAGAAAGAAGATAGATGAGAGAGATAGAGAAAAGAAAGATGAGCGAGAGAGAAAGAGAGAGAGACAAAGACAAAGACAGACAGACAGAGAAGAGTGATGAGTGAGAGAAAGAGAAAGAGATAGAAAGAGAAGAGAGAGAGACAAAGAGAGAAAGAGAGTGAGAGTGAAAAACAGAAAAAGAGACAGAGAGAGAAGAGAGATAAACGAGAGAGACAGAAAGAGAGATAGAGAGAAGAGAAATGAGCAAAAGAGACAAAGAGAAAAGAGATGAACGAGAAAGACAGAGAGAGAGAGATAGAGAGAAGAGAGATGAGCGAGAGAGACAGAGAGAGATAGAGAGATGAACGAGAGAGATAGAGAGAAAAGAGATGAGCAAAAGAGACAGAGAGAGAAAAGAGATGGGAGAAGAGATAGATGAGTGAAAGACACAGAGAGAGAGAGAGAGACAGATAGACAGACAGATAGAGAGACAAGAGTGATGAGTGCGAGAGAAAAAGAGAAGAGAGAGAGGAAGATGAAAAAATAGGTGAAAAGAGATAGACAAAGAGAGAGAGAAAAAAAAAGAGCGAAAAGAGATAAACGAGAGAGAGAGAGATGAACGAGAGAGAGAGATAAAAAGAAGAGAGAGAAGAGATATAGAGAGAAGAGAGATGGGTGAGAGACACAGAGAAAAAGAGAGAGATATACAGACAGAAAAGAGTGATGAGTGAGAGAGACAAAGAGAAGAAAGACAGAGATAGAGATAGAGATAGAGAGACAAGAAGATACTCTATTTTTTTTTGCGACCGCAATCTCTGCCGTCGCAAATACTTCTTTTTTTTTTTTGCAATAACAATTTCTACCGTTGCAAATACTCTCCTTTTTCCCGACAGCATTTTTTGCCGTCGCAAATACTCTATTTTTTGCGACAACAAGTTGTGCCGTCGCAAAAAGTCACATTTTTCACGACGGCAAGTTGTACCGTCTCAAAAAGTCACATTTTTTTGCGACGGCAAGTGGTGCCGTCTCAAAAAAGTCACATTTCACATTTTTTGCGACAGCAATTCGTGTCGTCTCAAAAAAGTCACATTTTTTGCAATGGCAATTCATGCCGTCGCTTTTTGCGATGGCAAAGTGCCGTCGCAAAAATTTCTGTATTTTAAACTCACTTTTCTTGTAGTACACTTTGCTCTACCCGTTTCTTTTCATTTATCCTTACTCAAATGTTGCATTCAAATATTCAGTTAGTCCAAAAAATAATAATAATAAATCACAATTTTATTGACCATCTCTCTATTCTATGCATTTTTTCACACACCAATTTTGTATTCATAAAAAAGTTTAGTTCTCGTTTGACAATTATATATTTTAGTTAAAAAGTTAAAAAATTATTATAAATTATCATATTATTCTTTTTATTTTTTTACACATCTTTTATAAAAAATTAAAAAATTATTAGAACAACTTATTTTCAAACTAGGTTTTGGCCCCGTTTGATAGAGTTGTGGGAAAGTGATTATAATTTATAGTCTAACAGCTTATAGCTGTAAACATAAGTTGATTTTTTACTTATAAATTAAGTTTCTCCTCCCCCACTCAAAGAATAAGTTGATTTTTGATTTACAAAAAATTATAATTTGTATTGTTAACCTGAACCAAATATATCAAAATAACTTAAATTAAAATAAAAACTGAAATAAAATAAAAATAAATCCTACCAAACTGGCCTTTATAGTCAAATATGATACTTGTCCGCTTATCTTTTTTTTCCCTCTTTGGAGACAACGTGGAAGGTCAAACTCAAAACTCACGCACAACAAATGGAAGAATTTAGTGCTGACTTTGCTAGTGACACAGAAACTGTGCCACAAAAAGCGCCCAGTACACTCACATGTCTGTTTATGATTTTTTTTTTATTTTATATTCTTATGGTTTCAATGCAGTTACTTTAATACTCAGAAGATGCTATGTTTAATGAATTTTGCTCTCTATGCTTGATTGGATCTCTTACTTGTGTTTAGTTAAGAGATTTAGAAAGTAATTTGGAAGGAAAAAAAAATATGTAAAATTAAATAAAATATAAATATATTAGTGTGTGTTCGTATTTGAAGGTACGGTATAAATAATGTTGGTATCACATACTTTACAAAAATCAATTAAAATAAATTAATTTAAAATGATAATAATTTTAATGCTACAGAAATCAATTATAATAAATCAATTCAAATGACAACAATTTCACTACAATATAAAAACTTCACACACAAGAAGTCAAAATAGCAAATTACGGTTTAGCAAACCTTACACATAAAATATCTTTTAACAAACTTCATAATTAAAGTTTAAATATCAAATTCAAAATATAAAAATGTTGTATACAACATAAGTAAAGATATCCACGTCAAAATGATACATGCATAGTGAGTTAGAATGGGATAACATTCAATAAAAGAATGTTTTTAAATTAGTATTATAATTGAGTAACCTTTTTCACTTTATCAAATTTCAAAGCTTTAAGATATGGTGAATGAACATTTTGGTTTTTCTTAGGTTTTTCTTAATGTTACTTGTGAAACTGAACAAAACTTAGGTTTTTCTTAATGTTGCTCTCAAGCCAAAATATTTGTTCTGCACTATACCCATTGGCAATATAAACTTAAGTTTTTACTTAATGTTGCCCCTAAGCCAAAAATTGGTTCTGCCACTAAACCCATTAGCAATATAATTTAATTATGAGGCTAGGCTTGATTGTTCTAATGCTATGTCCTGAAACCATAATGTTGAAACTATAATAGAAATATAAAATTAGAAAATATTGTTCTAATGTTATGTCCTGCGAAAACTAAGATATTGAAACCATAATAGAAATATAAAAGAATAAATAGCACAAAGAACAAAGAGATTATCATTATGTTTAGGGACCAAGTTTAAAACATTAACCAGCTTTTAGGAAGAGTTGTCTCAATTTACGAGTGATGCGACATTTTCTCCTAGCAAAAGAACAATAAGGAGGATGTGCTCCTAGTAGTACTTGATCTACCCACTTGAGTAAATGATCTTTGACAAAATCCTAGAATCCAAAAATTGACTCAACAAAAGCAACTAGCTTCAAGCAACTGACTTCATCCTATTGTCAAGTTGCCAATTGGCCACATAAATATTATATTTAGTACAACTCTCTACATGAGAACCCCAAAATCATAAAGAAATAGCAAACATCACATGAAATAGAATGATCAAACTAGAGATTAAAATCCCTGACTTATGTATGTAATGACAAATTAGATTGATAGTGCGTATAGTTGGAAATGGAGAGTTGAAAAAAAACAAAAACAAAGTTAGAACTTACTATAGAACTTATCCTAACTTAGCATCGTTGGTTGATCTCACTCTACTTGTCTGCACACATGCACTATCACACAATGGTTTCTCTTTTTAATAGACAATGAAATTGTCAAATGAGAAAAAATAACAACGAAAATGAGTAAGCTTAACAATTAATGTATCAATCGGGGATCCGATTACCATGGGTCCATTACCGCCAAGGGTCTTTTCAATTATTGTAACTAATGCTTTCCTTTTGGAAAAACCAACTAAAATTTGAGTGTGAGAGTGCAATCTAACAAACAATCAAAGTGAAATACCTTTTCGGATTCTAGTTGAAGATTGACATTGGTTGAGTACCGAGTAGGCATCACTCTAAGCCAATCTACTATCACCGATTGGTACCAAAATGTATTGATTCCAGACTTAAAAAAACAAAAACAAAAAGAAGAAGAAGAAGCTACTAAAAGGAACAGTTAAGAAACAACATCACTACTCTAGAAGTGATAAAGAAAAGAACATAACCATATCATAACTTCATATTAGATACTGACCTTATTGAATACCCAAATTTCACCATTAACAGTTGGTTTTGGTACACCATGTCTATTATAATGGAAGAAAATTCTATCAGAATTGGCATTCAAGCTCATTTCAAAACCTTTTAAAAAATTAAA